ACTCTCTCACTCAATCCTTCGACGCTGTCCGCACGCTCCAAACGTGGGAATCCCTGCACTGCCACGTCATCCCTGCCGCTGTCTGCTCAGACGGACCTCCCCCTCCCCTCATTCACATTAGGGAACGCCCGCCGGGCCAGCCTTAGGGTAAGACGTATTCAACCATGTTTTCATTCATAATTTTCTATCTATTTGAGTTTGCTCTTATGCTTCGTCTGCCTCTATCAGGCATACTTATATTAACACACATGCTGATATTTTCACTGGCCTCGTTCTAATTATTCAGGGGAATATTTTAATTTAGTCTCTTATTCTTCCCTCCCCTGAAGTCGATCAGCAGGTCGCATCAGCAGGTGACTTCACAGTTTTTCTTAAATCATCCGATCTCCGTCTACCAGAGATCTTTCTATTGGCCCAAATTTTTGGCCACATTCAGCATCTATCGTGATTACTCAGAGCTTCTGCAGGAGGGCCATCCGATCAGTCTGTCCCCGCCATGCACGCTTCATATATATCGTACCTCAGTCTTAGCAGCCCGTCATCTTACCACCCCTTATTATTACTTCTGATTATCGTTCTGTCTTCTTCTTCTTCTCTTGGTCAGATTACTGAACGTAGGCTGCCGTTCGGATCTCTGGTCTGACTGCTTCTATTGGAACGAATTTCTTTTCTATGTCGACATTATCTATCTCCTGCCATGCTTCAAAAATTTTACGGATGCTGCATCCGTAGGTTTTGGGGGGTTCTTCAGGACAGGTGGTTCATGGCCTCTTTTATTCACACCCATTATGCTTGTGTGAGGTCTAACCCTAGCTAGCTTGCATCGTGGGGCTTTGGGAAGGAATCGCGTCCGCCCACTGCGATAACTTCGTAGTTGAAGCCACTAATAAGTCACTCCTCCTCCCAGTCTCTCATGCCTTCATCAGAAGCATCACTGGCAGCAGTCACTAACGTTTCATCATCTCAGTGCGTTATGTTCAGGCATTCAGCACTTTTATTCGCCCAAGCATTACCCTACGTCCACTCATGGTTCTTCACCACCTCAGGATACTCTTAGAATCACGTGGCCTTCCCTCTAGTAGGTAATCTGGGCATTCGTTCTGGACCGAGCAGCTGCATTGCAGCTACTCGCGGGGTTCTGAGGCTTCCCTCAGCTCTGGGCCGATGGCTCACCAGCCTATACCTCATTCATCCGCCCAGAACTCTCACCAATTCTCTCAGCTCAGTGCTCTCTCTGCCTCTAGGTAACTCTATTACAAATACTGGTGGTGGTTCAACTCATTTTCATAATTTTCTGACCTAATCACGACTATCCTCTAACTCATTTTCTACTCCCACTCCTTATCAGTTTTCTTCATTATTCCCTGCTTCATGCAGTCTTCCATGCTGTCTCCTTGCTATTCATGCTATCTTCATTCTGGCTCGCATTCATGCAATCTCACCTTTATGACAGGCATTATATGCATTCTCCTGTGTGTCACGTCACGTCTGGTCTGTGTCTCGTCATGCATCCTTGACACCATTTAGCATGCATTCCCTAATGCATCAATTCTTCATATATGTAACCATCCGCAAGAATCATCCGCAAGATTCATTATCAGACTCATCCGCAAGATTCATTATCAGACTCATCCGCAAGATTCATTATCAGACTCATCCGCAAGATTCATTATCAGACTCATCCGCAAGATTCATTCCCCATGCATCACATGCTCCCTATCTGTGTCTCGTCGTGTCCCGTCATGCATCCCTTACGCCATTTTGCTTGCATTTTCAATGCATCAATATGCACCATGTCTGCGTCTCGTCATGTCTGTATCCCGTCATGTTATATGTTCTATATGGACTCATCCGCAAGATTCATTATCAGACTCACCGCAAGATTCATTATCAGACTCATCCGCAAGATTCATTCCCCATGCATCACATGCTCCCTATCTGTGTCTCGTCGTGTCTCGTCATGCATCCCTACGCCATTTTGCTTGCATTTCCAATGCATCAATATGCACCATGTCTGCGTCTCGTCATGTCTGTATCCCGTCATGTTATATGTTCTATATGGACTCATCCGCAAGATTCATTATCAGACTCATCTGCAAGATTCATTATCATCGTCATCATAATGGGATGCACCATCGTCATCATCATCCGCAGGATTCATCATCATCGTCATCATCATCATGGGATCATCATCGTCATCATCATCATGGGATCATCATCGTCATCATCATCATGGGATCATCATCGTCATCATCATCATGGGATCATCATCGTCATCATCATCATGGGATCATCATCATCATCATCACCATCATGGGATCATCATCGTCATGGGTTCATCATCGTCATCATCATCATGGGATCATCATCGTCATCATCATCATGGGATCATCATCATCATCATGGGATCATCATCATCATCATGGGATCATCATCGTCATCATCATCATGGGATCATCATCGTCATCATCATCATGGGATCATCATCGTCATGGGTTCATCATCGTCATCATCATCATGGGATCATCATCGTCATCATCATCATGGGATCATCATCGTCATCATCATCATGGGATCATCATCATCATCACCATCATGGGATCATCATCATCATCATCATCATGGGATCATCATCATCATCATCTTCATCATCATCATCATGGGATCATCATCATCATCATCATGGGATCATCATCATCATGGGTTCATCATCATCATGGGTTCATCATCATCATCATCATCATCATCATCATGGGATCATCATCATCATCATCATCATGGGATCATCATCATCATCATCATCATGGGATCATCATCATCATCATCATCATGGGATCATCATCATCATCATCATCATCATGGGATCATCATCATCATCATCATCATCATGGGTTCATCATCATCATCATCATCATCATCATCATCATCATCATCATCATCATCATGGGTTCATCATCATCATCATCATCATGGGTAAATCATCATCGGTAAGTTCTCGGCGTCAACCGTGGTCGCCATCCTCATCAACAACCTGGCTCGGTAAGTTGTTTGCAAACCTTCTCAGCATTTCATTACGCATTCTTTATTCTGTCCCTAGCGTATGCCCTACGAGCATACGGACTCTCCGGCCTCGACCTCGGCTTTTTGGGGGAACATCCCTATTCACATTCATCTACTCATGCATGTTAAAGCATAATTCAGCATGAATGTTCCTGCCGAGGTCTGAGCGCCAAAGACTATACTTTCTTATCAATAAATTCTTCTAATTATCTTTTCTCTCTGTGTGAGTTTTTCAGATTGAAATGAAGCTCTAGCGAAAGTTCAATTGAAGAAACTCTGACTTACCTCACATCATCAGAAGCCGATCCGTCTCCGAAGCGAGCCAATCAGCTTTGAACTACTCCACCACGAAGCCCAATCAGCGTCCTGCTTCCACTTTATAAACTCCCTCAAATCTCACCACAGCCGCTATCCTGCAATCGCAATGTCGGATTTCGATCCAGACGACAATTCACCCACCTCCATCCCCTTCTCCGCCATCGCAGCTGAATCGTCCTCCATGACACGACTTCACCTCAACCTCATCAGAGAGTATTAATCCCAGTTGTCACCATCCCTCGTCTCATCGCATTGGTCCGGCAGAAGACCACCATGTTGAGCCCGGTTCTGCCAGAGGTTTCTTCCCAAAGGGGAGTTTTTCCTCTCCACTGTCGCTTCATGCTTGCTCATCATGGACACTTCACGGTACCTGCATCACCGAGCAGGACCTCTATATCCCGAGTCTGAGTGAAGCCCCGGCGTCAGCTCCCTCAGTCTTCTAGTCCCACAATTCTGCCCAGCAGATCACCTTGTCAACCAGCTCGGATTAAACCACCACCAGTTTCAGGCCCGGGGGGAACATCCCTATTCACATTCATCTACTCATGCATGTTAAAGCATAATTCAGCATGAATGTTCCTGCCGAGGTCTGAGCGCCAAAGACTATACTTTCTTATCAATAAATTCTTCTAATTATCTTTTCTCTCTGTGTGAGTTTTTCAGATTGAAATAAGGTAACTTACTTAAAAATACAACAACAAGAAAAAAAAAAAAGAACAACTGCAGTCTCTTATTTCAGGTGAATAGTATAAATATTCATCCTATTGGCAGATCATGTTATTCACCTGCTGAAATTAATGGTAAATATTCTTATTTTACCAAACTGTCCCTTAGCTTAGATCATTTTTGTGGTACAGGCATTTTAGTGGACATTATGAACTTTTATTAAATTAACAAATTACAGTCTATGTTTAGACAAGGTGCTTTTACTATATATGTTAAATTATTTAGGTCAATCCCAGGGCCATTATTGGAAGTTTTATATACATCTCATCTATAAAAAATATCTTTGTAAAGCTGTTTTAAAATTTTGTCTGTTGTTCACTGGGTTGAAAAACTTTTCTAGTAATGTATTTCCACTGCAATTATTATTAAACAATTTAATGACGCATTGATTAGATTGAGAAGCTTATTAGCTTTGTGACAAAGCACTTACAAAGAAAATCTAATTGTTCACCTTGGGATAAAAAAACAAAAAAAACAGCCACACACTTCAAACTCAGGAGCTAAAACTGATTTCTATTTTACAGGCTGTGGTTTTTGCAATCAGGGCATTTTGTTTGTGTCCTGGAGATCAAAGCCATTATTTGTGAAAATTATTTGGCACACCGGTGCAAAACTGCTTTTTAGATGTCTGGTTAAACTATGTGTAATGTCTTTTTTTTATTGCAGGTTAGGTGTTTTCAAGATGTTTTATTGATGTGAATATAAAGTATAATGCCTTAAAAATATATTTAATGTTTTCTTTTGATAACAGTTTTGTTTATGTAGATGAATAAATATGAGTAATATGCACATCAAACCCTTTCAAAGTGTACACAGTTATTCTTAGATTAAAAAATATGCCTTTCATTAATCACCTTGTCTCTGACATAATCTTATTTTGTGTTCTCTGTTTCAAGGTGATGGAAAAATATCCCCTGAAGGGTGGATCCCATCAGGTAGCTCCGCCCCTCTATTCCTGTAGTCGTGGATGCAGATGAAGATGAGGATGTTCCTAAATAGATTCAGAGAGAATGAGCATCGTCCTCCAAGCAGTCTCCAACAGACAAAAGTTTCCAAAAGCAGGAGAATAATCCTAATTTCATACGCCTCTCTGAAAGGCAGCATTCATCTTCCTCGTCTGCCGTCAATCGTGAGACAGGAGGTGAGACAGCAACACAATCGTCCTCTAAAGACCTGTGTGAAAAACAGCAATGGATCCTTTTTCAGTTGTCAGATGGACTGTTTAACAATTTATACAATTATCAGTTGCAAAGATGGGCTTCACAATACCTAGATGTAGGAACCAAAGTCAGTGAAAATAAACTGAACTGCAGGATTTCTTTGGAGATTAAGATTGAGTTTCACTGCGTTTAAACCAGTTGAACTGTGAAATTCGATGCTGGATAATTATATGGCGAGAAAAAAAGTTCAGATGAATAAAGGTGTCAAAATACGCACACAGTAAATTACTGAATGTGCAACCTGTGAATTCTAAGTACCGCTTAGCACCTATTGGAAAGGTAAGCGTGGTGTCTTTGGTTTCCCAGGTTGAATAAACCAGAACAAAAAGGTCATCTTCTCACTCCTCCTAACATAAATGTTGTGAAGTCATAACACATAATTTTACATTTTTTTATGGATAAAAATGTAATTCACTACTGTTTTGAGGGCTGTCCTCTTCAATTTATCTTTCCACTAAATATATAAAAATCACCTATCAGCAATACCTCTAGCTTGAATTATGCAAAATAAAATAATAAAAAAACAAAAAACAAACAAAAAAATAATAATAATAACAAACAAAAAAAAAGAATTATGCAAATTAAATTTAAGCACCCTTTCCATAATCTTATTATACATTCTCAAACCGGCTGCCACTTATATACTAATATAATTATCCATGGCATTCTGGGTGAAAAAAATAATAATTTGGAGACAGGTATTAAAGCTTCACTTCATTAACTTGATTTTTAAGTTTAGTTCTATGGTCTCTGATAAAATATTTTCTGTTTTTCTGTCCTATAATTTCTATCCTTTGCTATACGCAATATTGTCTCATGTTACAGATAAAGCTATAATACCATCTCCAAGCAGCTTGTTGTTTCTTTGACTACTGCACATATTATTCAGAAATGTAAGATCCATGGGATTGCAGCCAACCTTCCTGGAAGTAGCTTCAAGAAGAAATTTGACAAATCAAAGAGATGAATAATATGAATGATTACAAAAGAGCCCAAACAATCTTCTAGAGATGAAAGGTGAAATTCAAGCTCAAGGAATTTTTTGAGCATTGTTAAAAAACAATGTCTGACTTATTTGTTCGTTTTTATAGATTTTTAAAAATATTTTATTACTTCAGTTAGATTTTAATTATTTCTGTTACCATGTGTGTAGAAGAAAAAGGGTTTTTTATTCTTACCAATCTATTTCATTAGGAATAATTAGTCACTGTTGCTAAACCAGTTAAGCAATACAAATAGGGGAAGCATTATTTTACAATGAAAAACATGTTTTGGGACATATTCATCTGTGGAACACATACAAAGGTAACTAGAACATTTACTTAACAAAATTTATGGTTTTTATTTAATGGGTCAATGAAAGTTAACAGACAAAACCTTTGATGCCAAATACATGATATATTAAACTGTGTTGCCCTTTTGCTATTTATTGTTACACATGATAGTACTTGAGAATTTTCATAGGTCATGTATCAGACTTATGCCTGTCAGCCAGATATGGCCAAAGTTTAATTTATACAGCTGTGAAGAGCTCTTATAAAATTATATGATGCCAAACTGGGCCAATATAATACTGGGTTTGACACTGCTGCCCTTGTGAAGAGGTTTCTTGTGGGGTGCTATCTTGATTTACGAGTTTGATTGTACCAGAGAAAATGTACCTTTGCATGTATAAACTATGTAGCAAACAATCTGTACTCTTGAAGCCTATAAATACCCTCCAGGCTCCCAGTTTCAAAAAGCGTCCATTGGTTCTTTGGTTATTGCAATGCGTGCTACACATACAAGAAGATATTCCCTTGTGAATGAAAAATCTACTTCCACCCTGTCAAATGTGATGCTTTTTTCCACCATTCGTTTGGCATTCTATGGGAAAGGTGGCCCAGTGTAAATGATGGTAACATTGCTAATAAATATCCACAGACGACATGGATTTGCTGGTCCTGATTAACAGGGCAACTCAACAGCACAGCATTTGGGATTTTTAATAGCTGTGCGTGCTCAGGGGCCAAATATAATTCTACTGTGGGGCCAAATGTGCAGCATGTGCAATAAAGTGACCATTTAGTGTGACCTTAAAAGTCAGTAAGAAGGCTTTGAATATGAACTTAAGGCACCTTGGCCATGTCTTTTTCCCACAAATGCAGAAGGTGGGAAAAAATCATATCAATACGGAAAAAATGTAGTTTTTTCTTTATGTTATAATTACTGTACAGACATAATAAAAGACAATTGGGATACAACATTTGCATATCTCTAAGTTAAAAGTACAAAGTTGACTGTCAGTGAAAACAAAAGGAAAATCCTAGATCATTTATTGTTGGAACTATCACATAGAAGAAAGTTGGTAATCGAGAGATGAGTCATTCCAGACTGTCACTGATTGAGATCTGTAATGCTCACTGTTCTCTAAGGCATGATGGCTAATAGGCAGAGGACTAATTTCCCCACTGTTGAACTATAAAGAATATTTATTTTTCCTTATCCCCCACCAATGTGTCTAAGAGTATGTTTACCAAGGGCTTACTTGTATATCCCATTAAGAATTATAAGACTTATTGCCCATTTGGATATCAAACAAATAGACAATGGTTACAATAAACCTATTGTCTGGATTTTTATGTACATTGTCTAGAAAAATTAATACATTAAAAAAGTAAAATATTAAGACTAGCAATCCACTTTTTACTTCAGTAAGTGATGATTTTGTAATAGAAAACAATAGAGGGAGTTTTTACTAAAACACTATATCAAGATGATAGGCTAAATAAAAATAACTTTTCTTCCTGTGTTTTTGTCATCAGCTATACATAAGGCATGTAAAGCTCTTTAGGTCTTTTGGATCACATCTGAAAGCAGGTCACCATCTCACACAGTAACAACCAGAGAGATTAAAATCTCAGCAAATCCGACGTAGAAATTTTACAGATGAGGGATCTGAAACAAAGCTTCTGTTTTTATTTACAGTAGTAACTCTTATTAAAATTATTGATTGTATTCTATATTAGTCATGACAATGCTTTGCAATATTCTAGTTTATTATATTTGCCTATGCATAGAAGGCTTAAAGAGATTTTTGTTTAAAAAACTAACTGCAGCTAAATGACAACACTTGGATTAAAATAATCACTGGAGTTGTTTTAGATTAAAAATAATCCAAATATTCTATTGGTTTATATTAGCTCCTATTTTAATCATTTTTAAGTACTACTTATATTACTATGTATACCAGATTCCAAAACAGGAATGTATGAGCATGCGGTCTATATAAACCAAAGAGCTTATTACTGCTGCTGAAAGAGAGCATGATTTAGGTTTGTAAGAGGATTTGCTTGAATGAATATAGATATTGCAACTAAAGGCCTTTACAATGAGTTATACTAATCAGATCCTGATTTATATTGCCTTTTAATGAATTCTTTGTACTAAAATAAAAGATGATAGGATTAAAAAGAAGAGTTGTACATATGATGAGGCATAGAATACTATATAATAAGAATGTCAGCATTTAATGAAGTCTAGCCTTGGCGTCCTAGTCTCCTACTCTCCTGATACATTTAGGTTAATGTTGGTGTATTGAGCTCCTACAACCTGGCAAAGCTGAAGTCCTACCAGGTTCCCAAAGCCTTATAGGGGATCATTAAAAATGTAATGTTCTGTGAAGATATTGTGAGCACTCAGTATATTAACTGCAGTAAACAACTCAACTACACATTTATTTGCATGAAACAGATAAAATTTTGAGACCAAAGTGGGAGCAAGACAAAAGAGGTTCTTTGAATAAAAATGTGGAAAAATGTCCCACAGCTAATAGGAAAAAAGGGGTAAATGTCCTAGCAGTTAATGAGAATTATATTTTATAAACCTTCACTGTCATGGTTTTGGTTCTGTTATGCTTTACTTTGCTCCATGTTTTATTGGTTTAATTCATATTTTGTTGTATATTCTGGATATATGAGTTCTTTGGTTTTTATTTTTTTGCCCTCTTGTGTTGGTCTTCTTCTTCTTCTTCTATTGAGTTTTCTGGCAGTTTGCATCCTGTGTGCATTACCGCCATCAACTGGACGGAGATGTAATTCAGAAATATAATGTCTGTATATCTTTATATCTTCATGAAACTAAATTCTATCTATACTTACACACACGCACATACACACACTAAATTCTCCCAGCTAATTCTGTATCTTTTAAATATTTAATAAGTGCTTTAATTATCTTATCTGATTGATGCTTCCCTAATAAATCTGCCATCTTTACTGAACTCCCCATTACCCTTTCCAGTTCTTTCCTCTCTTTTGTATATTTGCTACAATAGATCAACACATGTTCTACTCCTTCGATTTCTCCGCAATAACAACAATTACCCGTTGGATGTTTCCCTATTATTTTTAGACCTGCATTTAAACTAGTATGCCCAATCCTTAACCTGTTTATCCATATTTCCTCTCTTCTACTCATTATACTGTTATATCCTATGCTAATATCTTTATGTATTTTATATAAATGTCTTCCTTTTTTTTCTAAATTCCATCTCTTCTGCCATACCTTATTTATTTTATCTTTAATAATTACTTTTATTTCTGTTCTACTTAGCGGGACATCATATTCAATTTCTCCTACTTTAACTGCTTCTTTAGCTAACTTATCTACTTTTTCATTACCTAAGATTCCTTTGTGTGCTGGAACCCATGTGAATTGAATACTTATATTTTGTTGCCTTATACCATACATTAAATAACTGACTTCATCTAAAAGATCTTGACGGCTTTCAGATTTTCCACTTTTAAAACTAGTCAGGCAAGACATTGAATCTGAACAGATAACTACATTTCTAGGCTTCACCTCCAGCACCCATTGCAATGCTAAAATAATTGCCAACATCTCTGCTGAAAAAATTGATAAATTATCTGTTGTTCTTCTC